GTTTCTTAGGTAAAATTTTTTTTTAAGAAATAAAACAAGTTTAATTTGAAATAAATTTGTAGCTCAGTTCTGTGTAATAATTTCTTGAATTTTTACGAACAATTTTTTTTTATTTTTTTATATTTTAAATAAACTTATTAATACACATTGTAAATTATATGTGATTACTCGTATAATGAGGTGTTCTATAAGTCGAAATCATTATTTTGTACAGTACTTAGTTTTTTCTTCTAGCTTTAGCCTTAATACACAATCAATCTTAAATTTCTCGTATAATTTTTTTTTTGCAATAAAGTTAATTAATTTAAATGAATAAAACTTGGTACAAACATATGTATAGCACTTAACCAAATAAGTCCAAAAAGCTGTGAATTTATTATGTAATATTTTTTTTAATATTTATTTATATTTCGAAACTTATTTCGTACAACTCCTACAATACGATATACTATATATCTGTATAAGTGTATAATATGTAATGTATGTAATTAAGGATATATTAACTTAGTTAATTGGTATTTTATTCTTAGCGTTTTATTGTGAAATTGCTTTTCGTAAAAGTTTAAATGTATGCGGCATATGCTTTAGCACACACACATACATATGTTTGTATGTTTGCATACGTATATTTTACATATGAACAAGTGTATATGTACTTATATATCTCTTATAGTTTTTTGTTAATAAAAAGTTCTGACAGAGCATTTTCGGCGCACTCATTTCAAACATCGCTTGCTTGCCAACACTTGCAGCTATAAAAAAGACAATTACAAATACTACATTTTATAATAAGAAATATTTTATAAAAATTATTTTCTTTTATACGAATATAAATAGTACACATGTATATATAAATATATATGAATATAGTTAATGTACATATGTTATTTTATCAAAAGATGTATACAAGAAAAACGAATTTCAAATGTTACGTACAAATTGTTAATATTTATGCCAATTACAAAAAATTATTACGATTTTTTTGCATGGAAACATAGTTGTTTCAAAAGTGTTACTGATCGAGAAATTGCTTAATAATTTCGTTTACTTATCTCTAATTGTTACTTTTTGTTTTGTTTTATTTTTTTAATTTTTTAGGGTTGCAAAAATGCCGGGGAGTTATTGGAAAAAACTATTTATAAAATCATTAAGTTAAAATAAACACATGTGCAAATGTTTTTAATGACTAGCAAATATATTTAAAAAGAATAAGAATAAATTATTGCAAAAAGAAAAATATAATAAAATATATTTTCATTTATTAAAAACTTATATAAAGTAGAGTATAACAAAAAATTTATATTCTTTAAATCAACTGTAGGCTATAGAGTATGTAGGTAGTATTTGAGTCCAGTCTGAAAATTTCGCTCGGAGATTGTAACTTTAACTTAGATAATAAACTAAACCAGATTTTGAGAAGATATCTTGAATGAAAAAGTTGTTCATACCAGCACTTGATTTAGATCGTTCAGTTTGTATGGCAGCCATATGCTGTGATGATCCGAAAATTGTAAATAAAGCGCAAAATATTTAAATATCGATCGAGTTCGAAATTCAGCTTTACCGGGACGGGACGAGAAAGCGTTGTCGCATCACCATATCCTTTACTTTTTTTTTATTTTCATCAGTCGAAGGTCGTCAAGAACGAGGAATGTCTTCAACGATCTCTCGACCGTCTTTGAAGGCATTGTAGCACCCGTAGGCTCGTGTTTTTGAGTCACAATAAGTTTTTTCCAATATTCGCACACGAAATTTGGTTAGAAATACAAAATTTAAGACAAATTTTTTGTTCGATATTTTTAAACATTTTAAAATCGCAACGCACTACTGAGGTGTACCGACTTAAGCAGCTGTTGTAAACAAACTAGTTGACAGAGCGCGGTCGTAGTTGGCATTGTAATTAAGGACAGTTACAGGAGTATACAGATTTTTAATATCATTTAGCCGGTGAATTTAATTACAATTTCCGGGTGGGTTTTTGTCAAAATATATACGTAAGTAATTACTTGTTTGCCAACCAAAAAATATAATATAATATGAATATGCACCGCTTTAGTTAAACGAAGCATGCTGAATTTTGTTTTGTGTATTATTTAAAAAATT